TGGGAGTTGAAGTCCACTCATCTTAAAGTGGCCAAGTTTGGACAACACTGGCCTAAGACAACTGCACTGCCTGCACCCTTTCTGGCATGCTCAGTCCAACTGCATTTCCTCATAATGCTATCTAAAGTGTTTGTCATTTGCACCATTTCTTTTTGCTGTGGCTTACAGCTGTTGCAGTATATAAAATACACTTGAAATTTGGAACATGCAGCAGAGTTAGTAAAACAGCAACTTTGGTGTGCTTATAAAAAAACAACAACAACCCTATAATGTTGGCATAAATGTCTCGCTCATTTTCAGAATCAAGCCTCACCCACATTTCTTTGGACATCATCTGGATAATGATTTCTTGCTCCCATATGAGCTATCATTATCTTGAATATGTCTTCAGATGCCCTTCTTTAGGCCAAGAAAAAGAGGAAGCTGCCTTGTCCTGAATCAGACTGAATATTATTTCAGATGGATGACATCATGGGCAACCTAAGCTTTCTGCAGGAAATCTGTTCTCTAGTAAAGCGATGGGGTGAAATTCAAAAGGATACTACCATGAGCAGAAACGGAGAAGCAATCCCATTCCCACTGTAGTTCCCAAAACTTGCTCTTGATTTTGGGGGTGCAAAGGGAGATAAGTGTATGGGGAAATCCTGTTGTGCAGATGTCTATTACCAATGTTGGATTACACATACAATCCATCACTGGGCAACAGGAGAGTCTTTATCATAGTAGCTCATCCCTCAAGAGCAGCCTATTCATTATTAGCCTGGGACCCATTTTATTATTATTTTTTGAATGGAAAGAAGTTATAGTGTAACTTTGGAAAAACTTCATTTCATCAGATTCTTTTGCTGCTTGTTCTTTTTTGATGCTATTTTACAATAGTATTATTATTTGATTTGTATTTAGTTACGCCTTTGTAATTTTATTGGGTAAAGATTCATATTTACTGGCTGTCTTTACGATGTTTTAACTGAGTTGGTTGTTATAAGCCTTAATAAAAGGCACTCTATAAATACATTTTTATGATTATTAGTTTTGTTGGCTCAGTACGTATTTCATTATTTTAATTAGCATAAAAGAGAAAGGTGGGATATAAATATCCTAAATAAATCTTTTTTAAAGCATTCCAATTTTGTAAGTTTTACGGTAATGCTCCCACACATCACTGCTAAAATTCATATCAGTATCATAAGCCTGTTCATTTTCACCACTACGCCCAATCTTTTATAACAACCACTTACACGGGGCTTCCAAAAATATCCAGGTGATGTGTATAACAGATTATCATAATAGATAATAGATGTGCATAATAAATCCAAATAAAGAATGGAAAGCGTTCTTACCCAAAGAAAATAAAAGCATTTTGAAAGAAGACTGCTATTCCTGGATAAACTGGTGGTTTTTCTGGTTTGTCTGAGGAAAGAAGAATTATTTTATCAGGTTCCTGAAGTTTATTATTAGCATCTTTCCACACCAGTCTACTTTATTTTCTCAATGTTACAAGCATTAGCAGATGGCTTCTGACGGTGCCATTTCTATCAGAATCTGGCAGACAGTTTTTAGGCACTTGCAAAATTTGATACTGCTTTTCTATCATGATTGTTCTCAAAATCTTTTTGCTATCTTTTGAATTGACACAATTAAAATATTGATCAAAGCATTCTGTTTCAAACTACAGTAAATAATTACACACCAAAAAGCAGATCAGCAAGTACAAGTTGAAACGGTTGATAGAATTGGACATTAACAACAGGAGAGCAGCTGCTGGTTTCATGACATTCCCCTTGAGAGTCCTCAGCTGTAGATTCTGTATGCTAACACAGTACTGCAGATGTAAGCAGACTTCTAAATAGTAAATCCCATTGAACGCAGTGGACTGAGCAAAGGATTGTACTATACTTTTTGTTGTTGTTGTTGTTCAGTCGTTAAGTCGTGTCCAACTCTTTGTGACCCCATGAACCATATCGCGCCAGGCCTTCCTGTCCTTCACTGCCTCCCTGAGTTTGCTCAGTTTCATGCTTCAGTAATGCTATCTAG